CAAATTTAAACATTGTCTGTTGTAATTATTATGTGAGTGTGTTAAACAGAAAAGTCACATTGCTCACGTGAGAAGAGCTATAAGTATATATATGTTAAGGAGTGAAAGTGAACTAATAAATAAGTTTGGAAGAAAAGTGAGCTTGTAAGCAAGAGACATGCTAACATAAGGCAATAACTGATTTGCTCCCCTATGCACGAGTTAAAGAAACATTAGATTTTTTTAATTGAATTTTGTTTTTTACAAAATTATTAAATTAATTTTGTAAAATATGCTTTCTCGGAAATCCTTTAATTAACTAGTTTTGGAATTCCTCATCTTCTAGTAACGTAGACTTAACGTGCATTAACTAGAGTTTATTTTCATTTAAAGCTAAAAATTGATTTCTTTAAATGTCTTCCACTACAACGCTCAGAAATCGCCAAAATGAATTAGCATAATGAGTTATATTACTTATGAAATTAGTAATTAAATTATGCTTTGAGGCTGCCCAAAGGTTGTCTGATCCATGTCTATAAATAGCAGGAAGTGCTGTCAATTTATTGTTAGATTTTTGAGATTTTGAGTCAATTTTCTTCTCTACCTTTATATTTTGTTGCGCTGTCTAAGTATTATTTTGCTAGTATTTATTATTTTGTGTTCTTGTTAATTTTGCAGCATGAGTTTTTTAATCATAGAGAGCTATGGTGCGATCATTCTATTGTAGCATAATAGCTATTAAGAATAATGTTCTTGACACGACTCAAACTTTAAATTTACTTATTGCTTCTAATTATTAAGTCTAAATGAGCATAGCTCACATAAACGTGTTTTTTGTATTTACATGAATTCAAGCTCAAGATTTTATGCTTTGTTGGGTTTAATGAGGATGGACATAGTTAGGCTAGCGTAGAGCTTGAATTTTTTGGATATAAAAAACCATGAGTGAAAATTGAAAAGAGAATTGGAGCTTATCTATTAAGCACATATAGAAAAAGTCTAATTCCTATGCTGACTTCTTAATTAAATTATCTTATAAGTTAGATGTCAATTTCAATTTCTTTAATTATCTCTCACCTCTTATCCAAGAGGTGACTAATGATGAAAGCGATATACTGACTTCTTAACTAAATTATCTTATAGGTTAGATGTCAATTTCAATTTCTTTAATAATCTCTCACCTCTTATTTAAGAGGTGACTAATGATGAAAGCGATCAATTAGAGAATTCCTATTTGATGTAATCTCTTATGATTTATATTTTCCGGTTTTATTAAGAAAAATTGAAAAGAGACTTAGATTTCAAAAATAATATATAAATAGATTAAACATTAATCTAAGACTAAGCTAGGACAATCACAAATAATGACTCGACAGAATATAATGACACTAAGGACCTTCAAATTTTTTTCTTAAATGCCATAAGATAAAATACCCATACCCTACCAATTAAAGTCACCGTAAATTATAGATGATCTTATCATTTAAGTAAGTGGCAAGAAGTACTTCAAATGTCATTCTTTGTACATGTAATTTAATTAAGAAAAGTCTATCCATTGTTCTCAATATCTTAGGAGAGATATTTTCTATTATTGGCATAGTTACTCTTTATACATACCCAAAAAAAAAAAAAAACCCATACTCTGTCAATTTTTAAAAATCGGAAGTTTAGTTACAAAAATAAGAATTTTTTTGTGAAGTTTTTATATTTTATAACTCAAATAGAACATAAATTTAAAGATGCAATTTTAGAAAATCTATCATTGAGTTTTTATTATTTACAAATGAATGTATTCAAGTACAACTAAGCTTGACTTTAGCATTTTCTGGGGGGAAAAAAGCTTGACTTTGGTATGTTAACCGCAGATGTGGTTGGAAGGGAGGATGGGAAAAATTTTAATAAGCTCATTTGAAAAAAAAAAATAGAGAAGTAGGGATAAAAATTTTTAATTATTTTTTATTATCATTTTTCTTACTTTTTTATTAAACACTTTCAATCTCATTTATTTATTTATTTATTAAACCATTAAAATTTTTCCTCTCCTCCTTAACATGGCTCAGTGTTATTACTTGTTTTACAGCTTCAAGGTGGTTTTTTAATTGCTATTATGTCTCTATCAAAGTCATAGTGTATCATTTTTTTTCCTTATCGAGTAGTGGTTGTTACCTTTGCTTTGCAGGGAAAAAAAAGAAGAAAGAATATTATTAAGTCATTTTTGAAAGAAGTTAATATCTTACATGGACTTCCAACAATAAACATTAATAATTAATAAATAAAGTTTAGGTTTTAACAAGTATATACAGCATCCAAGTCCTTATCAGATATCAACTTTATATTTCATGAATTCTTCATTGATATTCTCTCACGAAAAAAATATGATCAAAGATGGTGACTTATCATGGATGCAAGAGAGAGAGAGAGAGAGAGAGAGAGAGAGAGAGAGAGAGAGAGAGAGGGTGAGGGTGCATACGTAAACTTTTATCGTCAAAAATAAAATTATGAGAGAATAAATTATTACATTTAAAAAAAAAGTATTCCTAACCAATGCTGTTGGATCTAGCAAAAAGTTAATCATTCATAATGTAACACATTAAGATTTAAATTTATATTAAAAAAATATTCACATTTAATGTCTGATTATACTTCAAACATAATTGTCTCTAATAAAAGAATACATGTGAGTAATTAAAAAAATACTGCTAACCTATCCTTCTCCATAAGAAAGAAATTATTATTCCCCCTTCAATATTATAGAGCATTTTTAATTGAATTATATCACAATAAGTTGGTTAATTATTTTTAAAATTATACTCTTTTTATGCTTACTCTTATTTAATGTAGTTTTTTAAATAGAAAATCTTATTAATTATACTCCCTACTTTAGAGTATTTTTGAAAAAATCTAATCAATCAATATTAAAAGATTCAAAATGCTTTATATTTAATGTTGGCACCTCATATTAGAGAAAATATCATATATTTTTTAATGAAGTGAGTGCATATTTCACTAAAGAATATATGTATACACATATTTAAAAATAAAAAAATTATTGATTCATTTTAATTGGTTTAAATTTTATTGATAAAAAGAAAAGATTGATAGGACACTCTGAAAAGGATTGCACATAAATGAAAAGGAGATTCCGCGATTTAAAAAAATACGGGAACGAAAATAAGTATCTTAATAAAATAAAATAAAAACACGTTTTGATAATGTATTTTTAGCGGAAAAAAAAAAAACAAATACTTAAGTCAATTGGCTTGTTCCTAAAAATTTTGAGATTGATATTAAGATTATTAATGACCCACACCTTCAACATGGGTGTATGAATCTTCGATTTTTTACTTGACTTTTTTGCTTTTTTTAAAGAGAGGATAAAGGTGCATTTTTGTTTTTCAAGTATTTTTTGAGAAGTACCCAATACCTTAATATTTTTGTTGGAGCAATTTTTTCCTTAACGTTATTAAAATGGAGTATTCTTACCCTTTCCATCAAATTTTTTAACGGTTAATATTTGATGTTAATGTTAGAATTTTGATGAAAAGAGTAAAAATGCTCTGTTTTGATAAAGTTAAAGATAAAATTACTCAAAAAAAAATGTTAGGGTATTGGTTGTTTTTTAAAAAATACTTTAAGAATAAAAATACACCTTTATTCTTAAAAAAATAAATTTATGTTTTTCCTCATTCAGTTTTGGATTGCATTTCTAAAAAAAAAAACAAAAGCAAGGAGAAGAATAAGAGCACATTTGTTGCATTTCCTTAAAATGCTGCTAGTTATGGGACCACTCTGTACTACTCACAAAGTTGTGGATCACCATCACCTTCCTTTTTCATGACAACCCCACCACACACACCCCACATCAACCAAGGCTTCAAATATGTGTGTGTCTCTGTGTATATACACACTCATAAAGAATGTGCTAGCAGAAAAAAACAAAAGAATGTAACTATATGTCATATACACTTATCAATTCTATATATAATATAGGTTTAAAAAGTAGTTTTACTCTTAAATTCTATCTCATTTTTAGTATAATGTTTTTTTTTTCAACATTTGAAAATAATATATGTCACTTCTACTATTAATAAAATTAACTTTTATTCTCGGCTGACTAGAAAATTATATAAAAAATATATCAAAAATTACAAAATGGCTAATAAATTATGGAAAATAGTGTAAAAATTACAGATAAGGACCCAAAAAATCACAGAAAAAGACTAAGAAAGTTTTGTTGGTCTTTTTGCGCAATTTTTGATATCATTTTCTATAATTTTTTGATTTCATAATGGTCAAAGTTAACATTTATTAATGATATAAATCATATTACACTGTTTTGAAATTTTGAAAGGAAACATTGCATTGAAAATGAATTTAAAATTTAAATGCTTCTAGACTTATAGTTTAAGAACAAATTAATTATTTAATTCTATAAAATAGTTTGTGCGCGTGCGCACATATTTTAGTTTTTAAGTATATCTTTTAATAAATGTAAAACATTTTAATTAAAATGATGTTATAAGCGAATTTCATCTTAATGATGATAGAATTTATGGGGTTCTGTTTAATGAAATCAAAGTTGAGAGTTTTCATACTATTTGTTTTTAACAATGATCACCTCATTTTTAAATAATTTCATATCAACACTTAAACGGTGAAGTTTGATGCTTTGACTCTAATACGTATGTATGTACGTGTGTTGTGTGCATCATTACGGATTAAGGGGTATTCACATAAAGTGTGTTCATTTCAAAAATTATGGATGCACAGGACATTGATCATAATAAAGTGTAAAAGGTGATATTCTAAATAAGAAGTGTAACCAATCAAGTATGTATATTTTCTCATTTTAATCAACATGAAGGGTTGCATGATTTGGTATTTACTGTTTATGATTGATGACCAATCAAAGATTAATAGCATCTTGAATTATTAAAGTATATACTTGGCCACAAAGAGAAAGAGGTATGTGATTTAAAATCAAAGCAACAAAGTTGCTTGCTTCTTCTGTAAGAAAAGTGAACACACAAAAAAGGAAGCATCTATATATATATATAGAGAGAGAGAGAGAGAGCTAAAAGCCCAGAAACTTTGCTGTTTGAAGGTGATAAACTTCTATGGTTAAACCATATTGTTCATATATCATAACAAAAGGAAAATCTTTCTATCAGATATACTTTTTGGTAATAACCAATCCCTTTGCTGGGATTTACAGCACAGTAAAAACTTAAGACTACATGATATTACATTCCAGAATGCCTCCTTAGGAGATGCCAAGAATGCTTTCATAGGATGTTTTTGTTTTTTTTGTTTTTTTTACTCTTCCCTCTTGTTTTTATATAAACCTCAGTAAACTGTACACAGCTACAGCATTAAGAGCTGACAGATTCCTCCTATTTAAGGTGTTTAACTTTGGCCTGTGTGAATTGGATAACAACCAAGAACACGAAGAAACCGGGCATATTCCTGAAACCGAAAACAAACCTTAACTGCCTTGACAATGTAAGGTAGTAATTTCATTTGACTAATGATGGCTAGAGCCACCACATGAGATACCAATATCGTTGCTTGTTCTCCAAGCAATATCATAACTATACCTCTGGCAATACCATGTTGAGGACATGAATGGGTGTCCTTGGATATAATATATAAAACATAGGATTTTATGAATGTAACATGAAATGACTTGCAAGCCAGAATCTAATTTTGTCAAAGTTAATTTTGTCTATATGTGAGGCTGCTTTCTTAGGAATAGTTTCAGATAAAGCAGAAGCAGAACTAATTAATAAAGTTAGTGACTTCAGAGGATCTAAATTCATAAACATTCCTGCAATTTGTCGATCCACAATTCCACTGAAAAGCTGTATTGGAAAGGAAACACCACAACATGGGAATGGGATGACAGCAATTTTATATATTTGCTCTCCACTGTTATTTGAAGGATAAACCAGTTTTACCTAAGATCATATAGTGTTAAGAGTTCGAACTGATGTTTCAGGCATGAATAATGAGAAACTAAACTGTCATTGATTGTTACTGACAGTTACAATATGAAAAATTAGAGAAAATCAATTCCGTTGATAACCATAAATGTCAGGCTAAGAAAATCGTAGACAAGAGTGATGAGAGAAATATTGAATTAAACGAAAGTATTGAACTTGAGTCCATGAAATATGATTGGCTTACCTGCAAATGTCCTAAAGCACATTGCGCACGAGGCTCCGCCATGGAAGCTTCAAAGTCAATGTAGAAGAGGTAGTCAAAATACCTGCCACCAGAACTTGAGTCAAAATCATAATTTTCACAACAAACTTTCATTTAGAATACCAGAGTCATTTCATCCCACTCATGAAATAACACCAAAGCCCTGTCCCTCGGCTTTTTCTGTGGTATCATGAAAGGAAGTGGTGAAAATCAACTTTTTCATGATAAACAGATGTTATAATTGATGAACTAGCAATTTATACAACTTCAAGTTATTTAATCATCTATACACAATAAATTCTTTCACATCCCACCCATTACTCTTTTAACACCTTCGAGTTAGCTCTCATGTCCATATTTTCATTTCATCTACACGTATGTTGACCGGATCAAATATGCATAACAGTCAATATCCATCTAAACTTGAATGATTTAAATACTGAGTTCTATGATTGCAGATCTCACAAACGGGGGAGAATCCATACTCACTTGTAACTTCCTTCATTAGAGTCATCAACAATCCTTATTGGACATTGTTTCAGCGGACGACTATCTATCTGAAATCACATAAAAAAAAAAAAAGAAATCATAATAAATGAGTACCTTAAAATTCCACATCTAAATGAAGATCTTCATTATTCCTCACCTTTGCCAAACTAATGTTCCTCAGAGAAAACACTGCCAGGGCTTTAAAAAGTAAACCAGGACCTTCTTCAAGACTGAAAACAATGCTAGTCTGGGAGAAATGTCATGAATTTGTCAGAACATTCAAATAAATATAGAAATGAAGAACTAAATTTGATATACCTTATAGAGCCTGTCAGTTCCTGGAATTATTGGCTCCCTTGCAAGAATCAAGAAACGAGTGATATTCTCATCATTATCCTAACAAGATGAAAATAAATCAGCTCAACTCCATTCTAACATACCAGCAACTACTAATATGTTATTAGTAAATGCTGAAAAAAGATAGAAAGAATGGGATGTAAGAAGTTTGATAAGCTCAACATATTCCTCAGTAAATGATAAATGAGGATGTAAGAAGTTTGATAAGCTCAACATATTCCTCAGTAAATGATAAATGACCAACGTTGTTTCTGTAGAAAAATATATTTTAAAAAAATGGATGTGTTAGATACTTAGATCCCTGTTTCATTAACGAACTTCCATAGTATGATAAAGTGCAAGAATATCACTTTCATACAAAGACGGTTCTGAAAATTATTTTGAAAGAGAAAAAAGTCAAAAGCATGATTGATCTACACAAGAAAGATATAGGGCTCATTTCCAGTCTTAAATCAGCAAAGCATCAGAAAACATTAATGGTAGTTAGTTGCATTAAAACCATATACTTAACATAGTCCATAACTATATTCCCAGATTCGATAATGATGATCAAATCCAATTTAAAAGATCTCCATAAACATTTAGAAAATAATAGCTAATCTTCCAATCCTATGCCTGGGGTGCTGGAAAGAGAGAGGATGAGGAACATCACCCTTAGACATTTGTGGATCTCATGTGCAATGATATATGTCTTTCCATTGCAAAACCAAAAAAAAAAAAAATCAAGCGTATTGCAAGAAGAAAAACAGCATAAGCTAAGATCATATTTTGTTGAAACTCTGATTTTCAAAGCTAGAAATGAACGTCGTACCTGGATTCTTTCATCAAGAACGTCAAGGCCATAAAACTTTGCTGCTCTGGAACTTGCAATAGCTCCAGTATCTCTTAGACCATCTAAGGACACTTTCTGTGCATAACTTCCAAATTGTTAGGGCATACCATGCTACAATATAACAATCTTTTCTTTCACCGGACCAAAGAAAATATTACTATACCTTAGCAGCACCAGCAGTATCTGGTGAACCAATTCTGGTAACACCTAAATCATTAAGCATCTCTTCACATTGAGAAAGAGCCTGTATGTAAAATTGTTGTCTTAAAAATTGAAATAACCTTAGCTAGATATATTTCTTTCAATAGGCATGTTCATCTCAATGATGCCATCAGTGTACTAGAAATCCGTGCAGCAGCTGGCATTGATCCAGTTCAAAGAGGCAAGTTGAGTTGCGCAAGTATTTTTCTTCTGAGATTTAATTATTATGTGATAAAACAGATAAGAAATTTTAATTGAGAAATAATTGCATGTATTGTAGTGGGGCAAAGTTGCTGGGATCATTGGAGGTGGGTGTTCATGGGCAATATTCATTGTGATCAGAACAGGAAAGACAATGCATCATCTTATGGTGCAAACTTAGGAGTCAGAGGCCAACCTGAGGATGGCTCATGACATAGTTGAGCTCCTCCTTTCGCACACCAGGCAATCCTAAGAGGCAGTGGTCAACTTGCAACTGCACCTCCCCAACAATGTGCAGAGTATGACGAAGAAGCAAATCATAATTACGGTGGATGCTACCTTGAACAGAATTTTCAACGGGTAGAATGGCTTTCTCAACTATCCACAATTCAACTGCCTGCATCAAAGAATACAATCACATCACCCTTACATCAATCAGTTGACGCAAAGAAAGAATATATAAGGAATCATGTATTGAAACCCTGAATACAGCTTCAAACTCATCAAATGGCACAGGTTCACAATTTGGGAAAGCTTTTAAGGCTGCTTCCTCACTATATGCTCCAGGCTGGCCCTGTATCAGGTAACTGACTAATTCAGAATGACCCTAATGCCATGAATGCAAATATTTTTAAAAGAAATTAATAAGAAGTATACATATACCTGATAAGCAACCTGTACTTTTGACCCATCACCAGGAGAAGATGACAAGTCAACTGCACTTAATGGCTCTGCAATTAAGAAACTTATATGAGAAATAAAAAAAGGAAAAAAAAGGAATGTTTTAAGATCTTATCGGTAGCATGAAACTTGTAGGTTGCTTTCATTATGATATGAAGATTCTGTTTGTCTACGTGCACACGCCTACATAATGCGTGCATAGTTGCATGGTTTGGGGTGTCCTTTCAACAATTAGACTACAACTCATAACCAAAATCATCAACAGCAAAACATGATTATTATATTTTGAAAATCAAGCTGAATCAAATCATCATTCATGAAATCATACATTACGTGAAGAACCAACTATAATTAGCTTAGTAACCACATGTTTCTAAGTTGGAATCTAAGATATCTAAGGTTAGGAGCGTGGTGTGCATACCAGCACTGAAATCCATGTTTCATCCGGGCCATCTTACCGAGTCAAGAGTTTAGATGGCACACTCTGAATCCATCATTTGAATTTCTTCACCGATATGACTCCATACGCAACACGCTAGATTACATGAAGAATAATTCATGTTCTATGCACATTTACAGTATGCAATTTGTACTGAACCATCTCATTGTTTCTTCTCTCCTTATATGTCCTATACAAACAGGACTAATCGCATCATGATCAGTTTTCTCTATTCTATTTCATTTTCAGGAAGGGAGTAAAGGATTAGATAGAGATAAAAATCAGGTAAGGCTGAGAGATAACTGATGCAAAGTTCAGAAAATGACTCGCTATGTCTCCTTTGCTAGCAAGACTTTCTTCCGTCATCGCCCCATTAGATACCGTCATAATATGAACTAAGCAAGATCAGGAAATTCTGGTCTTCAATGGGAGTCACAAAATGGCTTCTTCTGGTCTTCAATGGGAGTCACAGCTTTCCGAGCCAAAACACCCAAACAACAACACTCCCATTTCCGGCATTTCTCAGCAAGATCATATCTCAGATTCATAATTAGCCCAGAATTTCCAGGCTGCAGATTTGCAGCACCTAATTGAGGAGTTTTCGAACATCCGCCGATATATACACACCTCAGAGCCATTAGAAAATTCAACTTGTACAGTCGCAAACAAAACAGAGTCTCGGATAAGTGAGAAAAAGTCCACACACATGAACGTGCTTGTGATAGGTGAAGAGTCAGAAAGCGAGTCTCAGTGATACCCAGAACGACATTGTCGAGGAGAAGGAGGAAGACGAAGGTATAGTAAGCACCCAAATGGAGAATGGAGGTTAAGGGAGCTAAAGCAACGAGGTTGATGTTAGATTCGCGAGAGAGAGAAACGAGAGCTTTGCGGTAAAAAAGGAGCAAGTAGGTGGGCAGAGGGGAGGAGAGAGGCTAGCTATATACACGTTTTCTTAGACAGTAGAGAATATTAACATGTAACTGAAGTATGCATTGAAGAGAGAGGCAGAGAGGAAAGAAAGAAGCGAAGTGGAAGGGGAAGGAAAAAATGGATATGGATACTGACCGGAGAAAGATAATAAAGTTACTCTCCATTGAACATTCGGTTTTTTTCTTTAATGATAATGGAGTCATTAATACTTCCTCCGTTGAGAAAATATAAAGTAATATTCATTCAACTTTTTTTATAAATCATTTCTATCAATATTATTAATATTAATATATAAAAAATATAAAATTTTAAATATATTTATATATATAATAAATTTAAAAAGTAATATTATTTTATTTTTTCTCTCATTAAATATAATTTTAAAAATATTTTTAAATATTATTTAAAAAAGCTGCACTATAAGTTATAAAAGAGAATAAATAAATTTTTTAAAATTTGTTTTATAAATAGGATTGTAGGGAGTATTTTTTAAAGTTAGGTATTAAAAATATAAAAAAATTAATTTTTAAATTTGTAATTTATATATTTTTTAAAGTATCCATAATAAATAAATTATTTTTATATTTATTTTAAAATAAAATATTTTATTAACTGAAAATAAATATAAAAATATTATTTTAAATTTTATTGAAGCATGAAATTTTATTAAAAATATTTTATATTTTTAAAAGGAAGGAGGAACTAAAATAATGATTATTTTCCTCATTCACCGCCTGTGAATTGAATTGTTCGACTTTAACAAATACTACTTTCAACTAAAAAATATTCATATTTTTTAAGGAATGAATAATTAATTTATCAACACAGTCAGTTGTCAATAATTATTAATAGCTTTAGTTTAATTATTACTAAATCTTATAATAATTAATTTTTTCGTGTAGGAGTTCAACATAATTTTTTCAAAAATTAAGTATTATAAAAATTTTAATGAAATATTTTTAATGGTATTAAAATTAGACTAAAATGTAAATTTGCAAAATAGAATGAAAATCTCTAAAAGTTTAGCAAAGCGAAAAGAAAGTCAATATATTTTATTCTTATTATAAATAAAAAATTAATGTGCATGTCCATTTAGGTGATAAATATTTAGATAGACTGGGTGCATTATATTATTTATATTTTATCTGATTAAAATACTTTAAATAATCTAAATAAAATATTGTGTGATATTTTTTAATTAATTTTATTTTTATAACAGAATACCCATTTGATTTCTTACCTTTTCTTTCTCTTTTATCATTGATATCAGAATTAATTTATATTTAATATAATCTAAATGTCATATTTTTATTAGACAGATCATAAATGACATGGTACACCCGATCTACTTAAGTATTTTTTTCATATAGTTTGTACCAATTTTAAATCAGATCCTTATAATTAGAGATGTTAATCCATGATGTTCGAATTATTAATGAGTTATTATTTTTTTCTTGCTAAAGAAAATCGCTTGAAGAGTTTATAAAAAAATTGATTTAATGCCTTTAAAAAAATTGTTTAATGTAATGTTTCTGTTTATGCTAAATTTTTATAAATATTTTATGTGAAAAAAATTATTTGAAAGACATAATAAATTATATAATCTTGAATTATAAAAATTATAGAATTAATTCCAAAGATACATATACTTTTAAAAAAATGTAAGGATACTTAATTTCATTTTTTAAAATAAAAATTTAAAGATCTTGACTTTTAAAGATTAACAAATCCAACAAATCAAATTATAAAGGTTCAACTCAAACAAAATATATTACATTGACTTAATTTAAAATCCATAGATATTACAAGAACGTGTAGATTATTTTTTTCTTTTAAATATAAGGTATTTTTATTTAATAGGATTAGAGGGAATCTTAAATTATATATTTAAGTATTCATATCTAAATAAGACATTATTGAAATGAATAATATTTGTTGGTTATTTATCAGTATTGTTGCTATTAATGATGATCCAATAATCACTTAGGTAGCCAGTCAATGTAATTGATCAAAATGATATTTTTGCTTTTTATATGGGTAATAATTAACATTTGTCTCTTAATATTTATTTATAATTTAGAGAACTTAATTATTATTAATTTTCTATAGAGTACTCCCCCCCAATCGTGATATAGGATATCTTCTATAGGCTTTATTTATTTCAAAATATATATAACATTAAGTAACTTTTATAATTATTTTTTAACTATACTTATATTTCATTTATTATTCTTTTTAAAATTATGATGATTGAAATTTTAATTATCATTATCAAAATATTTATATAGGTTATTTGATGAGGATATAATTGAAAAGATATAAATTTTTTAAAAAAATTAAGATTTTAACTAATTTTTTTTACAATCGTGAAGTAATTACTAATATGCAATGTTGTGGTCTAGAAGGAGGATTACTCATTTGTACTTTTTTAATATTTTGAATTATTTACTTGTAATTTCTGAAATCAATGACCAAAATTAACATAGTAAGTATTAAATGATATTTTTTATATCAATTATTATTATTTTAAAAAAAATTAAATTTAATATTTTACTAATTATTTGAGAATATTTTGCTAACATTTAAAAGTTTAAGGTCTACGTCACATAAAAAAATTCAATGTCAACATTTTTTATTTATGAAATCAACAATATTAAAATTAGAAGATTGAATATTTATAAAATTAAGTAACCTAAATGAAATCTTACATAAAATCAAATAATAATGGTAGACTTTTCTATCAACTAAAGCAACGTGAATGGTAGATGTTCTCATCAATTAAGTTTTAAACGAATGATTAGAGATTCAAATGTTAATTTTTTATATACTCATTACATTTAAAAATATAAAGTATTTTTAATTAAATTTTACCCTCTAATAAAATAGTTATCTATTTTTAAACAAACCCTATTTTTTTATATTTATTTTTATTAAATATTTTATAATAAATATAAAATCATTCATCAATAAAAATACTTTTAAAAAAATAATTATTATATTTTAAAAAATATAAAATATTTTATATTTTTAAATATTTAATTATTTTAAAAAATATTTTATATTTTTAAATAAAGAGAATATATAATAATCTAGTTAAAAGATATATTTATCTTTTGCCCTCGTTAGCTTGGGCGAGATTTTTTATTTTTGTTGGTAAAATTCAAGGAGATATACTTTATGAGTAGAACCGACTCTTTAGTCTTTATGCCAATAAAACTTTTTTTTTTCTAATTATTTTTATTATAGTTCTCCCGTTTCCCATTTTCTGACGGCTTTCACATTTTCCTCGGGAACGTCAAGGAAGACAATCCAAATCAGTCAAACTACGAATAAAAACTATGACAGAGTCAGTGTACGATTAGGACAAGACAATATGGTTTTTTAATTTTTAAAAAATTTTGTGATCGGTTTAAAAGATAATAGGATGAATGAATTTGTATTGAAATATATAAATAAAAATAATTTTAAAAAAATCTTTTAAAAAATCTATTAAACATGTGTGAAGGGTGAAGTATTACGATATTTTAGAATAAATTCACTTATTTAGAATCATTATAACTTTCAAGATTTTCAAATTAAAATTTAATGTGTGAGTCTTTAAAAATAATTTTTTGGGAAGAATTGAATATTTAATACTATTTATTTAATATACTTTTGTTTGATAAAAACAAATTCTATAGTGTCAAAAATATTAATAATAAGGGTTTATTATAAAACAAATAATATATAAACTATTTATATGTTTTAATTTAATTAGAAGTACATAATGTCCGAGAAACGCACTACTAGGATTCGAACCAATAGCGCGCTGGCATACTCAATGAGTGATCACGAGAGTGTCCACTGGAGAATTGGTAGAAATAAGTACCATATATATATATGAAATAAGGTCAAGTATATATGTTTTTTTTTTTCCATTTTTTATAGTACATGGTTGAAAAAATTATTATTAAAAGATCTGTCAATTAAATTTAAATTTTTATATTTCCTAACTACTTTATTATATTCAGTAAAACTAATAAAAAAGAGAGATTCCGAAACCAAATTAACTGGGTGTGCGAAAACGTC